ATATTGCAATAGAATTTTCTGACCAAGCAGCTCAGAAACAGAGAAGCCCAGAGAGGCTGAGGCAGTTGCCTGTCTCCGCACAGTGCAGGGGCATCCGCAGAACTGCCGGGATTCAGACTGCCCTTCTGCAAGCCAGCTGCTGATCCCAGCAAGGCCTTTAATTCCATCCAAAGGGGAAAATCATGGCAAGCCATCCATAATTGCTACCCATTTTGGGCAAGATGGTGTTCAGAAAACTCCTTGTGCTGCAGGCTTAAAGTAAAGCAGAATAAAGCAACAAAGAAATCACTGGGCTCAGCACCAGACAGAGACGCTTTTATTCCTGCCCATCCTCTCCTCAGAGCAACCTGGCCAGCTGGCTGGCAGCGGCACAACTTGCTCCCCATCTATCAAGGAAATATAGCAGCCCATTCCAGAAATGATGCAGAGATAGCGGTTTTGCAGTGACCCAGCCGCTTCAAAGCACAGAAAATGCGTTATATCCCAAAAAGCAATAGTGACTCACGTGGGGACTCCAATGTCAAACTAGAATAGAGCGAGAATTAGGACAGACACGTTTGGGAGGCTTCGTCTGAGCTACATCAACACTCCTTTCAAAACGGGGGTTTATACAGAACGATGCATTTAACCCCCTCCTTTAGGAAAAGCCCCTCTACTCCATTCAGACAACAACAAAATCACAGATGAGTCTACTGAGCAGAACACATTATTTTCTGTGCCTGGAAGCTGGCAGAAAGCATTAAACTCAGTATTTCTCAAAATCCCCAATGAAAGAATATCGGAGGGTCAGGATATTACTAGTTAAGCCTATTTTTGCTATTTCCTGTGTTAATTTTTGGACTCAGTCTCAGTTGGATGCTTTCTAGGTTGCCTACATGATTTCTTTCTTCTCTGGCTGTTCTTAGCAGCACTGTATCACACTGGTCTGTCCTCTTCACTCCTCCTCCTAATTCCTGCCCTCCCTTCCTCTGTCCATCTTGTCTTTGCACAAACATGTATCAGTTGCTCCTTAGCTAGGTGCTAAGAGGTAGCAGACCCTAAGTGCCATCGTGGAAAGGAATCCTTCTGTATGTGACAGAGAAATGTGTTCTAGACTTGGCAGGGGTGAGGGTGTCAGGGAGGTTTCCCTGGTAGACTGGGAGTTGAGGGGTGGGCATTCTTCACCCTGCAAGAAGCTCATATAAACGCTCCACCTGGAAGCATCAGTGCATCAATGAGCTGAAGTACAAGCAGTAAAGCTGGAGAGTGGACGAGGCTAAGGGCAGGGGTGGGCTGCTTGGCAGATACCTGGGGGCTGCACAATGAGTCCAGATGGCAAGGGGAAGCCAGCCAGCAAGGGAGGCAGGGATAACAAGATCTGACTTGTTTGGAAGCTCTCTCCTCATGCTTGCTTCTCCTCCCACATTGCCCCTTTCAGTGGGCATACGGCGGAGTGTGATTCCCCTTCACGATGCACACCTCCTCTGATCTCTCTGTTCCCTGAGCCTTTACTTTGACCCTTGCAGTTTCATCACTTTCCTTCCTTAGCTGTGATCACTCGTGTCCCCAGAGCACCCTGTGGCCTCCCTCCATGCCTTCTTGCCCTAGATACGGGTGCCCATTTCCCCTTCCTCACGTACAGGCTGGGCCCTGCCTACTCTGACCAACAGAACGTGGTGAAGGGCTGTTGCAGGACTCCCACACTCAGTCCTTAGAAGTTCCAGCAGCCTCTATTTCCTTCCTGTCAGAGCACTCCTGGCCACCAAGCTGGGGGACACTGAGCCTTGCGGAAAAGGCCCAGAAAGGGTGGGTCTGAGCTTGGCACCAGGATCAGATCCCCACCAGCTCAGCCCAGTCCTGCCCCGCTGTGGAAGTGTGCTCTTCAGCACGCTAGCCCAGTGGAGCCCCAGCCCATGGCTGTGCCCAATGCCACATGAAATAGACAACCAACCACGTGGGCTGGACAGCCCATGGCATCATGAGGAATAATATGAGCTGTCTGCTTTAAGTCACTCAGTTCTGAGTGGTTTGTTCTGCAGCAATAGATATGTGTCTACAAGTGGCTTAACTATTCTCTGAAATCTACTCATCCCACGTTGGGTTCATGTGGACCTGCAGGCCATATATTTAGCAGTTACTTCAAAAAAGTCCCATATTCTATGTCTCAGGAAAACAAAAGCAGAAAATGAAGCAGCCTCTACATCCTCCATGACGAAGCCCGGCAGACATGGTCTATGGCCACGTGGGAAAGAGGAAAGAGCAGAATCCTTGAGCAGAGCTCAAGAGATGTGTGAGTGACAGGGTTCTGCACCAGCAGCTGCGTCAGGCATGTGGGGCAGGGACTGTTTCTAAGGACCTGGACCCTGGTAACATTCATCAGGCAGAGACCGCGATATCTCTGATCCTTTTTTTTTTTTTTTTTTTTTTTTTTTTTTTTTTGAGACGGAGTTTCGCTCTTGTTACCCAGGCTGGAGTGCAATGGCGCGATCTCGGCTCACCGCAACCTCCGCCTCCTGGGTTCAAGCAATTCTCCAGCCTCAGCCTCCTGAGTAGCTGGGATTACAGGCACGTGCCACCATGCCCAGCTAATTTTTTGCACTTTTAGTAGAGACGGGGTTTCACCATGTTGACCAGGATGGTCTCGATCTCTCGACCTCGTGATCCACCCGCCTCGGCCTCCCAAAGTGCTGGGATTACAGGCTTGAGCCACCGCGCCCGGCCTCTGATCCTTGAAATTCAACTACAACTTGGAAATTCCTCATTAGCCAGAGCATGTGGAATCATCAAACATTGTACATTTTGGAGTTAAAGACCCTACATATAAGCCATATAAACTGCCTCATATAGCCTTATTAATAAGATTCCACCACCATATTATACATATAATATGGTGGGGCTTTATATATATGGAGATAGCATCTCATTTTGTCACCTAGGATGGCATGCAATGATGCAATCAAAGCTCACTGCTGGGCTCAAGGGACCCTTCTGCCTCAGCCTCCTGAGTAGCTGGCACTGCAGGTGCAGGTCACCATGCCCAGCTAATTTGTTGTTGCTATTGTTAGAGATGGGGTCTCACCACATTGCCCAGGCTGAATGTTATAAACTTTATTCTTGATTTCAAACTTAAAAAAAAATCTGAATTGGGAAATGAAAAACATTATTTTTTTTCCTAAATTGTTAAATTACCATCTAGTTCTAAAAGCAGAAATCCTCATCATTCTGCCTGTCAACACACAACTGCCTTTATAGAATGTGTGCTCTTTTCCGAGTACCAACCTAAGTGTGCTCCACACATCCACAGAGTGATCCTCCAAACTCTCTGAAGCTGCTGCTTCCCCTATTTTTCAAAGGAGAAATCTGAGGCTCAAAGGTTATACAGACTGTAAATATTACAGCTAAAATTAACACTCAGACTTCCTCAACCCTGACCCTTTGCCCTCGGAAGTCAGACGCAATGGCCTCATTATGCACTGAGTCGCATCCTCCTCACACTCACAGGTTGAAATCCTAACACCTGGTGCCTCAGAGTGTGACTCTATTTGAAGATAGAACCTTTGAAACGGTAATTAAAGTAAAAGGGGGTCATGAGCGTGGGGTCCTACTCTAATTTGACTGGCGTGCTTATGGGAAGAGGAGATTAGGGCACAGACGAGGACAAGAGAAAGTTGTGTGAACTCAGTGAGATGGCAGCCACCTGCCAGCCAAGGAGAGAGGATCTGAAGAAGCCAGCCCTGCCAACACCTCGATTCAGACTTCAGGCCTCCAGAATTGTGACAGGGCAACTTCTGTTGTTTAAGCCTCCGAGGCTACAGCACTTTGTTCCAGCAGCCTTGGCAAACTAATACAGCCCCCAAGAAATAGAAGACCCCAAGTCCAGGCATGGAAAGGCATGTGTTTGATCCACTCAACAAGGGACCACTTACTCCCATTTTAGACGTTTTTCAAAGCTCAGTTGTCCAAACTAATTTAAGAAGCAAAAAAGTGGCAGCAAATCAGAAGAGGATACTCTTTCAGAGACAGCCCCAATGATTCAAGTGAAATGTGGCCCCCAGCAGCAAAGACAGAGACAGAATGAAAAGTCAATACAAGAAATGCCATCACCCAGCCTTCTGGAAGTAGCCATGTAGGACAACACATTGCTTGTCCAGCGGGATCACTGAGTGACCATCAAGGGCAATTTGGTCACACCGTTCCCTGCATCAGGAAAGCCTGGGCTTCCTGCTTCATTCAGCTGGGATGAAAGATAGCAGTCATCATTAGGAAGTAACTTTCTTTTTCTGATGCTGTTTATGAGATCTGAGACCTTATTAATAAGAAATGTTCTGGGGTCCCTTATTTGACTATGCAGTTTAACAAAAAATTTTACTGCTTCTAGAAACTTACCCTGCATAGACAATTGCCTTTTAGGCATCTGGTCTGCAAGTCAGACTGCCTTTGTTTACCAATGTGTCCCTTATTTCCTGACCTCAGGAGAAAGACTATTAGAATACAGGTATACACCCTGCAGGGGAAGTTTCTGAATGCAGCTAGAGATGACAGTCCTCATGCTCACCTGCAGCATCTCTGCCACAGAACTCTCTTAATGCCCAAGGCGGAAGACATCAGATGAGGATGTAGGCCCAAACTGTGGGCTCCGGCAGTGCACCCCATAGGCCAGCACTTTCCACTGCTGGTCATAACTACTGCCATTCAGAGAACAAAGGCACTGCCTGAGGCAAGAATACTACATGTGCTGATACACACAGGAACAATGCTAGGCCCCCAGAACACACAAGTTCGTGGACATCTTAGGCAGCACACTAGCCAGTGTGTGCATGTGTGCGTGCCAAACCAGGGAATGCTGGCAGAGGCAGCCAGAGCTGCTTCTCAAAGGCCTGGCCATTCGGAAAGCCATGTAGGGAGCAGTGGTCCCAAATCGTAGACAACACATCCAGCATTTCTGTGAAACATTCAAATATACTTGATAGCTACATGCATGCAAGTATAAAATCATGTCTTCCTTTGCTCAATAGGCTTACCTGTTATAGAGCAGAATGTCTGGCTTCCAAATCTGGCCATCTGGGAAACGCACAGTCTTCACTCCTGGGTATTCTGACACATTCCACTGTAGATAGTGATCTGTCCAAGACTGACACACACAATGACATTAGCAGCACTTCACTTCCTTGCCTACTTATATTTCTTATACGCGATTATTAGGTAAGGGCAAAGTCAAAGAGAATTCCAGATACTTTTTTATAACCAAATTGCTATTTATAAAATATCATGAAAATGGGAATTCAATAATCCCTTCCAAAATGACTGTGAAGAGCATAAAAATCACATTTAAGGCCCTGCTGTCACCATGAACACATTCAGATGGCAGCAATAAAGTGAATTCCAACTCTCTGCATGTCCCCGAGCCTCCTCCTGCAGTGGATGGGGTACTTCTAGCCAAATGAATAACTGTTTGCTTTCAAAGTTTTCACTGTGAGAATACTCTGAAAAAAGAAATCCACTTACTTCCATTGGAATAAGAACCCGGCTGGAGGAATGTAGAGTATTTATTTCCATAAAACAATACTGTGCAGATGCACAGGAACCTCTCAGACCTTCGAACGGAATGTTTTCAGATTTGAATTCTTATTTTGTCACAGGGATAGTGCTTCTGAAATCTGACAGTGCAAACCCTGAGCCCTCATGGTGAAACACCGAGTCGGGATGAAAGGAGGCAGGTGAGGACTCAGGAAGCACTCACACAAGCTCAGGGCCAGGCCTTAATTAAGGTTATCGAGTGACTTTTGCCAGGGGAAAAGCGATGTCTGGGGTCCTCCCTCCCAGGACCACGTGCTAAACAGCCCTTCCTAGAGCCCACAGGCTCCGCAGAGGATGCTCTGGTAGGATCCTACCTGCAGCTGCCACATAACCAGCAACACTCCACGGGAGGCTCAGGGCTGACAAGTTTGAATTCAGAAGCTCCTATAATTGCACCATTATCCTGTATTCTGTCCCCCTGCTACCGCCCATGCTCTGGAGTTCACACTTTCCAAGATTCAGAAAAGTATGTGATGCACAACCCCAACCTGGGACCAGAGTGGCTCCTCAGAATCAAACGTGGTAATTTCTGCAGCAAAACATGCCTATTTCCAGTGAGACAAATAAATGCCTCAACTGCACACAGATTTCAATTTGACTTTAGACCAAAAGAGTGACGCAAAGTCACAAAAACATCAAAAGGGGGAAAAAACGTCAGAGCTGCTGAGATTTGGGAACTGCAGATGAGGGGCTGTGGGCCTAGAGCTATTGATACTGCCAACAAGGGACTCGAAAGACATGTCCCAGACCAACCATCCTCTGAGGAGGGCAGGCAGCATCCACAGAGATAGTCCCAGGTCTAGAAGGATCTAATCTGACATCAGAGGAGAGGAACTATCCAGGTGAGTGACATCATTTTGCAGCCAGGGACCTCCAGGAATGAGGATGTGTTCATGGGTGATGTGCCATAGTATCCTCCAGGGCATTCAGAATTGACAGGTGCCTGCTGGGGTCTCTAATGAGATGGACGTAGTTGGGGAGGGGGCAGGGGGCCTACTCAGAAAGGGTGGGTCCTGTCCTAGTTGTCTTCCAGGAATGCCTGGGTGCCAACCAAGCCACGCTTCCTGCAGCTCGCTCCAACTTGGCACCTGTGCCCTGTGCTTCCCTTCATTTCTCTCCCTTGCCCTGGGCACGAGGCCCTTCCACAGCCAACACCTGTGCTTCCTGTGCCACAGTCTTGCCTCTCACCCTGGGATGCTTCTCTGGTCTGGTCACTAATTATCACAGAGCTGGTCACCTTCACCATTATTACCACATGAGTCAGGGCCACAAGGTTCTGTAACTGCCCTGGAAAGTGGGCATGATAATCCAAGGCACTTCTCCCCTCTCCTCTGCCTGCTGAATAATGGTCGGAGATGGAGGGGAGACAGGAAATGGGAATGGAAATTGGGAGTGCTTGGTTGGTCAAACCCAGACCTCTTCCAAGACACACCCAGAGCTGCAGGCTGCCTCTCCACACCCATATACCCCACTGTGTGTACCACAAACTCATCCCTTCCCAGCCAGACCACAGCCTTTATGCTAGTCCAGTGTGCTGTGTATGTCCAGACTCACCATAGTCCAGGGGGGTCAGTGTGATGTCTGCTCCCATTTACAAGAGGAAGCTGGGGTTCAGAAAGCTAGGAGGTTTTAGTCAGTCACTGGGTCAGGACTTAACTGTGTTATTTGACTTTAAGCAAACTGATCTTTGGGCTCTACCAGAGCTGGTGTTTCTGGCTCAATCTCCCTGATGCTGCTGCCCATCTGCTATTTTCCCTTGCTCCAAACCAGGCTGACCATTGTGTCAGAGGCGTTTGAACCAGGGCCACTCCATCTTAAATAGGAGCTGGGTAAAACAGGGCTGAAGCCTCCTACTGGGCTGTGTTCCCAGATGGTTAGGCATTCTAAGCCACAGGATGAGACAGGAGGTCGGCACAAGGTGCAGCTCACGAAGACCTTGCTGATAAAACAGGTTGCAGTAAAGCAGCTGGCCGAATCCCACCAAAACTGAGATGGCCACAAGAGTGACCTCTGGTCATCCTCAGGGCCACACTCCCAGCAGTGCCATGACAGTCTAGAAATGCCATGGCAACATCAGGACGTTACTCTATATGGTCTAAAAAGGGGAGGCGTGAATAACCTACCCCTTGTTTAGCATATCATCAAGAAATAACTATAAAAATGGGCAACCAGCAGCCCTTGGGGCTGCTCTGTCTGTGGAGTAGCCATCTTCTTTTTCCTCTACCTTCTTAATAAACTTGCTTTCACTTTACAGACTTACCCTGAATTCTTTCTGGTGTGAGATCCTAGAACCCTCTCTTGGGGTCTGGGTTGGGACCCTTTTCCAGCAACAGCTGTGGCAGAAAAGGTCGGGGGAAGCTGCAGAAAGCGTCCAAATCAGACAGACCTGGGTTTGCACCAAGGCTCTGGCAGAGACTAGTGGTGAGAGCTTGTTCAGGCAAATCACTGTCTCTGAACTGCAGGTTCCTTATATGTACCCTGCCTCATAGGATGAGATGAGACCATGTGTGCAGCCGCAGATTAAAGTCAAATGGCCCTAGTAGGCAAGTGATGAGTGATGGCTTAAAGAAAGAGAGAGAGAGATCCCCATTTTATAAAATCCTGTGGGACTTGGGAGCTGTAATAACAGTCATAACATAGCTGCAACTGAAGGTGGGGAAGTGAGTGCCCACGTGGAGCAGGAACTTCATGCCGCATGCTCTGGAGCCCAGGTCCACACTCCTGAGCCGGGGGTGACCCCCTCAGGCTCCCATGAAGGTTTCCTAAGAATTGATACGGAATAAGACCCTATAAACAACAACCTTCTAGAAAAAGTTTTTCTCTCAAAGCACTTGCTTCCTAGGTCCCTCAGGAAGAGGCATCAGGCAAAGTCTTTGTGGACAGCACCTGGCATGTTTTCCAGAGTGGGGATCTGAAAAGAAGCATCTATGAACTTGGACTCCTAGACCATCACATTTAGAGGAGTGTGTGCTCTTCCTTCTCTCCCTCTTTCTGTGTGATTCCTTCTCATTAAATCTTCAAAAGAAGAGTGTGCAGGGTTGTGAGGGGACATTCAAGGGTGGAAGAAGCCATTGATCTAAAAGGCACCACAGGAATCCCAATTCTTCCATGGCTCAGGTACCTGTGCCCCACTGGCGCTGCTCGGAACCCACAGGAATCTAAAATATGTGTGAATGCTAGCAGCATGGAAGCTCTGAGGGAGGGCAGAGGAGGGGAAAGGGATGAGAGAGAGGAAGGGAGGGAGGAAAAGGAAAGCTAACTTTTATTTAAGAAAATACATTATGGTATAATAAGAAAATGATTCGGTTTTCCTGGCGCCGAGCTTCTAAAGCCCTTGGAATTTCCTGAGTAAGGGAAGTGTCTTTTGTGATCCATAAATAACCCCTTCTGACTGTGCCTGAGGCCTGAGTTTACACTGAAGAGGTGACTTAGGGTTGGGCACCCAGACAGCTGTCATGGTGGCGGGTCACTGAGTGACTGCAGGAAGGAGCTTTCCTTCCTCTGCACTCACAGCTCTGGGGAAGGGGGAGAAAGGGGCTGGAGGCAGGGTTATCAACACTCTTGGTGGGCACATCCAGGTGCCAGGAGGGTGCCCTTCCTGCCGCCATGCCCTGCCCTCAACATCCTTCCACTTGGTGGCTCCTGAGCTGCATCTTTTAGAATAAACCACTAAACATCAGTCACAGGTTTTTCTCCTCCCAAGTTGTTTCATGACGCTGAATTTCTGTTCCGAAAATCTGAATCCATGTAATCTTTTCTCCAGGGTATTTTATATAAGTAGATATTAAATATTTCTTTGATAAATATATTTTAATTTATATTTATAAATAAACGAGTTTGCATATTATTTAAAATTTTATTAAATAAGGAAAGTATTTTCCAGAGCTCCGTGAGCCATCTTAGAAAGTTACTGAACCTGGGGGAGAAGGGTATGGGAACCCTCGAATTTTCAGTCACCTGGGTAGACAGGGGTAGCCTGGGTACCCCACTTGCAGCTGGTATCTGAAGTGAGGCTGAGCTCTTTAACCTTTGGTTCTGATGTGAACTCCAGGCAGACAGTGTGAGAAATGAATCGAATTGGCGGCCCCCCTGTTGCTGCTGGAAAATTAGTTGTTGGTGCTGGAAAAGACATCACACATTTGATGTCAGAAAACACTTGTCTTTTCAAAATTCTTCCAGTGCCTTATTTTGATAGAGGAGGAAAGCAGGCTTCTTTCCACCCCCACTCTTCTCTTGGGGAGACGTAATGATTGAAACATTGCTCTCACCTTGGCACGCTGTCACAGCCCTAAGCAAGACATTAGCTGGCTTGTCTGTGCACAGGAAGCATGGCATTTCCATGTGTCAGAGATCAAGTGATAATGAATTCAGAAATTAAAAAGGTAAACATTTGAGAAAAAAAAATATGGTTTAAAATCTAATCATCTATGGTGTGAATGCTATTAGTACCGTAATTAGAATTAGGAGGTTAAAGTTAGAGAATGACCCAGGAAGGCCGGGAAATCAAATACCAGAATGGTCACGGTTGCAAAATAAAGAGAAGACAGAGGTTTT